GCAAAGGAAAATCTCTTTAGATACTTAAGTGACAATTGAATTTATTTTTATAATTGTTTTAATAGCTTTTGTATAATCTTCATTGCTATTATGAGATATAAAATGTATTTATCAAATCTGTAATCATTATGCCAAAAAATCTGAATTACTGTAACATTTTGTATATTGTTAAAACTGTAACTTTAATTGTAAAAAAAATTTTTTTTTTAAAAATTAATTTTTATTTTATGTGTGTTTTGCTGGCATATATGTGAGCCCATGCATGGAGGCCAGAAGACATTGGATTCCCTGGAACTGGAGTTATAGACAGTTGTCAGCTGCCATGTCAGTACTGGGAACCAAACCCAGGTCCTCTGCAAGAGCAGCCAGTACCCTTAACTGCTGAGTTATTTCTCCAGCCCCTAAAAGGTTTTTTTTTTTTTTTTTTTTTTGGTTTTTTTTTGAGACAGGGTCTCCCTGTAGCCCCAGCTGTCCTGGAACTTACTATGTAGACCAAGCTAGCCTTGAACTCACAGAGATCCACCTGCCTCTGCCTACCGAGTGCTGGGGTTAAAGGTGTGAACCACCACGCCCGGCTTAAAAGTTCTTTTTTTTTAAAGAGAGCTGACTATGATACAGCTTAGTGATAGAGCAACGGCCTAGCATGTATGAGGCCCTGGGTTCAATCCAAGTCCCACCAAAGTAAATAAAGAATAATTTGCCAAAGTCACAGAGCTAGTAAGAGGTAGAGCAGAAATACAAACTAAGACCATCACACTGCCCACTTGGGCAGAGAGTTCCTACCCTCCTGGCCATGAAGAAGGCAGCACTAGCCCTTTGCAGCTGAAGGTTCTCCAAGGGCAACAATATTAATTGACTTCATCACATGTGATGCCAAAACTTTTCCAAAGTATTTTCACATCTATAAGCCCAAAGAGCCCTAAACCAACAGATCCAGGTCTACAGAAAAATAGTTGGAGCCACCTGTTCTTTGGGAGCTGAGGGACTGTTGCCCTCTCCTTCTAGATTCCAAACCAGGAACACTCAATGACACCAGAGGGGCCTGCAAGGCTCTCTTGAAGAAGGCAACATCTGAGCTAAGACAGGATGAGCTGGACACATGAGGTGCAGTGGAGAGCAAGGGGTACCCCAAGCAGGAAAGGGCAACCACAGAGGCTTAGAGAAGCTAGTAGTGTGCAGAGAATCACAAGTCATTTGGTGGTGCCAGAATGTAAACTTCACATGGAACAGTGGAAGGCATAGTGATCAAATCATGAAGGACTTTGAATATCCTGCTAAGGAATCTGGGCTTGATTTACCCTGAGGGCAATAAGGAGCCGCTGAAGGGTTTTATGCAGAGCAGTAATAGGATCAAGCCCTTGCAAGAAGATGATCCTCATGGGAGCAATCTAAGAAGCTGAGCTGCTGGCGGAGAGACTGAAGGTGTGAAGACCAGGCTGGTGGGACACCCAGGGCTCAGGCGGATCTGTACTCAAGCCGCCTCTATCACAATTCCCAACGAGGTCAACTTTCTCTTTCTGGTCCACCAACTTACAAACTACTAATTTTATGCTGTCTCCCATACATTTTCTTCAGTGATATGACTGTAGGGGGAAACAATGTTAATTCTAAATGTCAACTACGAAACTTGCCTGTTAGGCCCTATATTCGGTCCTTGACACAAGTAACCTCAGTGGTGCAGTCAGCAATCCTATGAGGGAGCTTACTCTGTTTGTTTTGCAAGGTAGGAAAACAGAAATTCAGAGCTGGTAGTTTACCAAAGGTCATCCAATTACTAAAGGGAGGAGTAGGATTTCAACAGAGTTCGACCTGGCCTAACAGACAGCTCGGTTAACAACTGCCAAGGAGAATGGATGGAAAGGGTTGGGCATGCTGAGTCCCTGGTCTTTTCCGAGGACAGAGGCCCCCTGAGGACTCCGTTCCTTTGGGAAGATGGGTGGTAGGCCTAGCCTCACTTGGCGAGGGGAGAGACGTGGGAAGTCCGATCCCAAACAAAAGGATCCCGCAGGACCTCAGGCGGCCTCCAGCTACAAAGAGAGCAAGTAGACCACGGGCCTGAGGAGCGCTGGTGCAGAACACTGCAACGCCCGGCAGAGCAGGGAGGAGGCGGGGCCCGCGGGGGGGGGCGGGCCTCTGCGCCCCACACACTCCATCCAGGACCTGCGGGACCCCCGGAGGGGCGGGCCGCAAGAAGGCGGGGCTGCGGGGCATCGCTGCGCCCGCCCCCGCACATCTGTCCGTCACCTCCCCACCCCTCCTCGTTCCATACTCTGGCTCCAGCGGGGCGGATCCGGGATCTCGATGGTGTAGTCCAGCTCGGCCGAGGCCATGGTGAAGATGCCGGCCGTCAGCACTGGCCTACCGCCGGAACTCCCGCTGGCTCACCCCGCCTCCCCCCGATGCCCCTCCCGGGGCCCGCCCACTCCCCAACACTGCCCAATCCCGGAGCCGCGCTCTGTGACCTCCCGCCCTAGCAACCACCGAGTCCCTGCCAACCTCCCGCGGCGCCCAGCTAACCCGGCCTTAGCAACCAGGCCCCGCCCTCCTGGTCTCTGGCCCACAGGCATTGGCTGAATCTCTTGCCTTGGATCAAGGATTGGCCAGCTGAGACGCCGCTCAGGAAGAGTCCCCACCCTCCCGTGAAGGTAAGCGTCCAGCCGGGTATTGCTGTGTTCTGGTTGTGAGGAGGAGCTCTCCAAACTTCATCTTCTTCTACCCGGTAGAAAAAGGGCCTGTAGCCTTTTGTGGTCTAACTACGTCCGCCATCCTCTACCAGCGCAGCTCCGAGGGCTGGAGGCAGAAAAACGTACAAAACTGCGTAAGGCGGCGCGTGCTGGTCCATCCTCCCACCGGGTGGGTGGAGACAGGCTGGCTGGTTGACTGGCGGGCTGGGTGGGATGCGGTCTTCAGTTGATGACTTAGTAAATGCCCTTTTCGTGGAGATCCCAAGGAACCAGAGAGTACAGCTTCCTTGCATTTAGCCATGCATTTAATAAGTATTTACTGAACACCTGTGTGTGCCAAAGGCTGGGCTACATACAGTTCTTCGGGCTCTAGTAAGGCTAAACTGGCCCTGACGTCTATAAATCTCAATGGGGGAGGAACCATGCATGAACCAACTCTAACCCTATAGGGAGTATAAAAATTCTACAGATGAGTAAGGGTTCGGGGAGCTGAGACTCTGAGAGAAGGAGCCTTAACGAAAATGGGATAGCTACTGAGCTAAGTCTTCAAGGACGTGTGGAAATAAAGGGAAAGTGAGCCTGGTGTGACCTCAAGGCCAGCCTGGTCTACATAGCAAATTCTAGGCCAGCTGGGGCTATATCGAGACCCTGTGGGGGGCACTTTAGGACTCTGCGTTCATGAGTTCACAGCTTGCTTGGAAAATAAATTTATCTTCAGAGATGAACTGATATTTTCCCGGCAACAATACCAGATAGACTTACATGGGGCCATGAGGCCCTCAGTTCCAAAGTGGAGTCTACCATCCCTTCTGCTTTCCGGGAGTGACTTTCAGCACTAGAAGTCTGTCTTTCCATGTTCATGGGCACATGGTATGTATCCCTCCTTTGTAGTGCAGCAATCTCTACACCTAGCCAATGGCCTGCATTGCTGATCTCTCATCCATCTGCACAATTCTGTCCTAGTGATGGCTTTATAAAAGAAAGGAAATGAAAGTGACTCAAACTCTTGAGCAGGCTGAAAACACATGCACAGAACAAGACATCCCCTCACAAGCTGCTGGCTGGACCTCATATTGTAGTATCACAGTCCTTGCTCCTGCTATTAAACTTGAAAACATTCCCAGGAAAGCTCACGGGACTTCATCTTCTGTGGCTCAGGTGTCACAGATCTATGGAATGAGAACTCCTAACCACAGTCTGTGAATACACACCTGTCAGCTCTGGTCCCTGAGAGAAGGGGGAAGTGAGAGTGGAAAGGAGCAGAGCAACCCTGCTATAGAATGCCTGAAGCTTCCAAGGGGAGCAGCCCTGCGTTTTAATGTAGCCTATGGTGAAGTCCCAGAGACCTTAGCTCAGCCCAATCCGATTTGCCAGAGTTCTTGTGAAAGTAGATGTGTACTGTATAATGCTTTAAAGAGCAGAGATGACTTAGATGAGCCAAGAGATAGGCTTCTGAGGGAGCAGTATAATGGTCAAGGGCTGATGTGGAGATCAACTTGGGTAAAGAAATGCATGAATATGGGGCTGTTCCCTGTTTCCTCTCACCTTCAGAGAAAGCCAGACATGAGATTCAGTTGGTTAAAAGCCAGAATAATGTGAAATCAGAAGTGTGCAAGTCTACAGATGTGAGCCAGCTCCAGCTGGAGAGGCAGCCATCATCTAGTACAGCAGGGGCAGACCCAAGGCTGAGTTCAAAGCCCAGAAGAACCTCAGTGAGCTAGGCTTCCTAGGAGACCCTGCATCTTGCCCACACAGCTGGACCAGGTTGGTAAAGCTGATAAAATGCTCCAGGTTGATTCCAGGGAGACTGAGAAGCAGCATCCAACAGAATGTGTGCATTCTGGTTTGATTTGGAGCATAAAATAGAAAGGGAGCCAGTTGCGTTTGTCATCTCTTTGAATGAAAAAATATATGTTGAAGAGAAATGCTAGGTTGGACACCTTGCTTCCTGAAGATGTAGAAGATGGTAAAGTGGAAGGGGATGCTAAAGATGATATATATGAGATAGACCGTTTCCACAAAATTACTGAGCAGGGCTGCTTGATTCCCCACAGGGGAAGACTTTAAGTCAAGAGGTTGACGGGGTGATGAGCTGAAAGTTGCCCTCACACTTTGTCACACATGAGAGCACCCATGTGACTTCCAAAGTGAAGGGAAGGAAGAATGTGAAAGCGCCTGTGGAGGAATCCAGAAGAAATCTGCATGGCTTTGCAGGAGGGCTTGCAGCCCAAAGCTCAGTGTGGTATGAGCTCCTGAGTTGTATGAAGAGATGATGTTTAGGTACAGGGCGACTCTGAACACCTGTGTGATAATGCTTCTACTAAATCACTCACATGCTGGATGCACCTGTGAAGGAACAGTTTACTAATGCATTTGTCATGACCAGGAAGAACATCTTCCTCCTTTTGAAGCAAGAAATCTCTAGTATGCAGCAAGTAAGTTAAGAAAGCTGTACAAGTAGGGCAGGGTGGTGCACACCTTTAATCTTGCTCTCAGGAGGCAGAGGCAGGCAGATTGCTGTGAGTTTGAGGCCAGCTTGGTCTACATCGTGAGTTCCAGGGCAGCTGGGGCTACAGAAAGACCCTGTCTCAAAAAACAAAAACAGTAAGAAAAAAGTACAACAGGTAGGCACAGTGGTGCATCCTGCCTTACCAGCTACTTGGAATTCTTGGAAGCCCACAGAAAATTAAGTCCCATGAGCTTTGCTGGGAAAGGGGAGGGAGTCAGCTCTGGCCATGGTAAGTATGAGGTATGTGCACAAAACATCCAAGTGCAGGTGTCCAGGTATGAACAGGAAGTAGAAATGTGGAGGTCCATCAGGCATTGTAAATGACAGCCACACCACATTGGTTGAGCTTGCCCAGGGAATATGTATAGCGTAAGAAGTACCTACATCTGAAACTCTGCAAAAGTAATGGAGAGAAAGTGTCCAAAATGGCAAGGAAATAATCAGTAGTAGAGCATGATGTTTTAGAAGCCAAAGGAGGAAAGCTTTGGAGGCTGATGATTCATAAAGTAAAATAAAATCTCAAAGATGACACTGGATTTACAAACAAGAAAGTTGAGAGACCATTGCAAGTGCCGTTTCAGTGGAGTGGTAAGAGCAGAGGTTAAATTACAGTGGCTTGAGAAGTGATGGGACGTGACAGGTATGGTGATGATTCTCTGCGTCCCAAGCATTTGAGAGGTAGAGACAGGAGGATCAAAAGTTCAAGTTCACTGGGCATGCCTTTAGTCCCAGTACCGTGGAGGCAGAGGCAAGCAGATCTGTGAGATCGATGAGGTCAGCGAGGTCAGCCTTGTCTGCATAGCAAGTTCCAGGCCAGCTGGTGATATAGCAGGAGAGAGACCCTGCCTCAAAAAGAAAAAAATGTTCATGGTCATCCTCAGCTACATAATGAGTTGGAGGTCAGCCTGAGCTCCGTGAGACCTTGTCTCCAAAAAAAAAAAAAAAAAAAAAAAAGTTTCGAGACCTCCTAGAAAGTTATAAAAGAAGGGGGAAAGCCTGTGCCCTGGCGAACCTGTTTTCAAAAAAAAAAAAAAGTTTCGAGACCTCCTAGAAAGTTATAAAAGAAGGGGGAAAGCCTGTGCCCTGGCGAACCTGTTTTCAAAAAAAAAAAAAAGTTTCGAGACCTCCTAGAAAGTTATAAAAGAAGGGGGAAAGCCTGTGCCCTGGCGAACCTGTTTTCAAAAAAAAAAAAAAGTTTCGAGACCTCCTAGAAAGTTATAAAAGAAGGGGGAAAGCCTGTGCCCTGGCGAACCTGTTTTCAAAAAAAAAAAAAAGTTTCGAGACCTCCTAGAAAGTTATAAAAGAAGGGGGAAAGCCTGTGCCCTGGCGAACCTGTTTTCAAAAAAAAAAAAAAGTTTCGAGACCTCCTAGAAAGTTATAAAAGAAGGGGGAAAGCCTGTGCCCTGGCGAACCTGTTTTCAAAAAAAAAAAAAAGTTTCGAGACCTCCTAGAAAGTTATAAAAGAAGGGGGAAAGCCTGTGCCCTGGCGAACCTGTTTTCAAAAAAAAAAAAAAAAAAAAAAAAGGGAAGACAAAGGAAGCACTTTCAAGAAAATTTTACATTTATTGACCTTTTAGGAGAAGAAATAGAGAAGGCCGGAATGGAGAGATACTGGTGACATAAATCCAACAAAGAGAAGAATGACAGAATTGTGAGGGAAAGAAGGTGGCCTAAAGCGTGGTCCCTGAAAACATGGGGAGGTTCACTTTAAATGGTGGAGGAGAAGCAAGAGTGTGTTGATAAGTGATAAGTTGATGAGTGTTGAGAAGTGTTGTCCACACAAGCATGAGAACCTGTGTTGGGTCCTCAGAACCCATGTAAAACCTGGGCACATGCACTGGGGTGGTAGCACATACCTATAATTCCAACACTGGGGAGGCGGATGGGTCCCAGGAGCTTGCTGCCAGCCAGTCTAGCCAAATGGGTAAACTCTAGGTTCAATGAGAGACCTGTCTCAAAAATATAAGGTGCTTGCTTGGGCATCACATATACTAAAATTGGAACAATATAGAGATTAGCATAGCCCCTGCACAAGAATGACATGCAAATTTGTGAAGCATTCCATATTAAAAAAAGAAAAACAGCGGGGCATGGTGATGTACATCTTTAATCCCAGCACTCTGGAGGCATTGGCAGAGGCAGGTGGATCTCTGTGAGATAGGGACCAGCCTGGTCTATAGTCAGCTCTGTGCCAGCTGGGGCTACAGGGAGGCAAGAAAGAAAGAAAAGAAAGAAAAGGAAGGAAGGAAGGAAGGAAGGAAGGAAGGAAGGAAGGAAGGAAGGAAGGAAGGAAGGAAAGCAAGCCTGGAAACCTGTGTTCAATCCCTGAAACCCACGTAAAGGTGGAAGGATAAAACTCATTCTTATCCTCTGACCT